TATTTGGGAGTGATTATCTCCCCAGTCCTCATTCACAGGGGTCCTCATTTTGAGTCCTAGTTGAACAGATTCCTGGGAAATGCCACATTCCTGCAAATTCTTGAGCAGTGTCCAAACCTTGCAGGTTCATGTGCCAGACCTGTGAGATAGGGAAACTGTAACACAAGGCAGGGGGCACACCATAGGGATGGGCTGTTAGAGAAAAATGACACTGATCTCTCCTTCAATAGTCAGTTAGCCATTTGACTCCTGTTACAATTGATTTAGCTCACAACAGGAAGGAATTGTCCAGGAGGGGTCTGGGATCCCTGATTTTGAAGTTATCTGACTCTGCAGATAGAAATGGTTACATTGTCACTGAATATGATCTGCTTCTCCTCTTTATTCGTAACTTTCGCTTTCTTGCGGTGTTCTTAGTTGCTTTTGCTATGTATCCCAATCCAATTCTTTGAGCACAGAGTCCTTATTGTTATTCCCTGAGGTACATTTTGGAATATTAAGGAACAGTAGGTCTGCTTTAGGTAGACAGGAGTAGAATGAACAATTTGGGCTCTAGAGGAATTCAGGCCAGGAGCCTTGTCCCAGTCCTGTCACTTATTAGTCCTGTGAACTTAAGCATATTACCAATCTCCAAAACACAGAAATTGCAATAACCAAAAATGCTTCTTAGAAGGATAATTTTGTACTAAATCCTCATCAGAGGATACCATATATAATCTGTGGGAGAATCTGTGGCTGCCCACTTTGACAAAGTTCCTCACTTCCATGAGACTTCTGGGAGAAAATGAGTATAACTTAACTAATCATGCCACTATAACTAGGTGATACGTTATCAAGTCTGAGAACAAGTACAGGGCTGTATGTGGCCCCCTTCTTTCTGGGGTACACTCACTCTTACTCCATGCCATCATATTGAATCCTTCTAGAAACCATTCCTTTACTGAATGAGACCTCCCCCATTAGTCCGAGGATGTTAAGTCCCTGAGACCACCCCCTTTTAAGAAATGAGGGTTAACCTTCACCTGGAAGCTCCGCCTCTGACCTTCTAGGTCCAACTATAAATAGGAACATTCTAAAGACATACCTGCTATGGAGCAGTTGGTTGCCTAATTCCACATACAGGATTTTTGCCATGACACTGTCATGCCTGGGATTTCACTCTCTGCTGATGATCCAGTTTGTACGCCAATGCTCTCATCTCTTTGAAACCCTGCAGGCAAAATCAAGGACTCGAGCCTGCCTGCTTTTGCCTGTGCCTCCCAGTGATAACAGTGGAGGAGGGATTAACTGCAGCCCTGCCAATTGTGGGTTATTTTGTATTCTTTCAAGTTGTTTACTTTGACTCTGCACCCTTCCTGGGATTCAACTCTCTGCTGAACGGAGCCTGCAGAAAAATACTCACTTTCCAGGGACCTGATTGGAAAATCAGTTTTAACCACAAACAACCTGACAGACAGGGTGGACAACTGAACATCACAGGTCTGACCGTTGGGATGGGACTGTATGGGATCCTATTGCTCTGGCTGGGTCCTGCCATAATCCTCATTAAGGTTTATTGCTGCCATTTCTATGAGAACTTCGTACTCCTTCTTCTAATGACCTGAGAACTCTGCTCTTACACCAAGGCTCTTACGCCCCTAAGAAGCCAGAATACGGGAGGGTATGTTCAGCCTGATAGTTGTTTCTGAGACCCTCTGTGTTTGAGAGCACATGGGACTGGTGTCCCTGTGATCTCCTATATTCTGGGGTGTTGGTTTCCCCTATCCCTCTATGTGGGGCCCTCATCTTGGTTCCTATCTCTTGGATTAAAGGCTTCCTGGTAGGTAAATTCCACATCTCTGCAAACTCTGAAGCAGTTTCCACTTTACACACCTGACAGAGACTAGGTCCCTCTTCAGGAGTAAACTGTAGCACAAGGCAGGAGTCCCTGAGCAAGTGGTGGGTTATCTGGGGAGAAAAATGCATTGAACTACTTTTTTCTCTTCATCAGCCAGATGAAGATTTTCATGTAACTTATGTTCTGACATGTTTACTTTCTACAGGGAAGAGATTGTCCAGGATAATTTTGAGAATCCCTGACCTATTGAGGTTATCTAACATTGCAAATGTAGACGATCATACTGCCACAAAACACTGTATCTTTCATTTAGTTATTCCTACCTCTTAACTATAATGGTATTCTTATTGTTCTGGCTATGCTTTCCAATCCAGTAGTTTGGGAACAGGGCTGTTCCTTTGATCACTTCAAACAGATTTTGAAGTAATGAGAAGAAAATTGAAATAAACAGCACAGGGTAGGTCTCAGGGTGGAAGGAGAACAGTGTGGGCTTACTGTAATTTAGACTTGGAGTCTATTTCCAGTTTTGTCCTTTATAAGCCTGGTGAATTTTTCTATTTTTCAGGCTTTACACTATTATACAGTGAGTCTGACAAGCACTGCCTTATAGGGCTGGTGTGATATATGTAACAGATAGAAAGCAGTATCCATCACTGTACCTGTCTTGTTTTCACATTAGGGAATGAAAATTATTATGACTAGAGGCCCAGTGCACAAAATTTGTGCATAGGAGGGGGGTCCCTCAGCCTAACCTTCACCCTCTCCAATTTGGGAGCCCCTAGGGGATGTCATGCTGATAGCTTAGGCCTAAGCCGCAGTCTGGCCTCTCTCTGTAGGAAGTGACTGGGCTGATCAGGGGAATGTGCTGCCCCCATAACCCCACTGCTGCTGCCACTGCTGGCCGCCACATTCACCAAGGTGTTTTCATGAACACAGATTCCAGTCCCTTCACCGTGAAAAAATGACAATTTTCTTTACACATTTTCAAGATGTCTCTTTCATAGGATATGACAGTTTTGTTTTCTTTAATCCTCACCTGAGGATATTTTTCCATTGATTTTTAGAGAGTGTGAAAGAGAGAGGGAAAGACAGAGAGAAACATCAATGTGAGAGGGGCACTTTGGTTGCCTCCTGCATGAGCCATGACCTGGGCCCTGACCAAGGAGGAGCTTGCAACCTAGGTACATGCCCTTGACCAGAATCAAACCTGGACCCTGCAGTCAGCAGGCCAAGGCTCTATCCCCTGAACCAAACAGGCTAGGGCAGGATATGACGTTTCTTAGCCCCTCCAGCAGCAGACCGTTTTTTTCCTCCAGGAGTGAGGTGGAAAAACCCTAGATCACCTATTGGATTCTCATTATGCAAGTTACCAAGAACACTGTGAGTGGCGTACAGGGCGCTTAGCAATGAGCAATCAGCAAAGGTGTTTCCTTTGCAGTTAAGCTCAGAGGTGGGAATGCCGGTCCACTGTGGCTGGTAAGCCCTGCTGTCTGCAGGCCTGTTCACCCGCCATGGCGCCTGGCAGCCAGGCCCTGCTGTCTGTCTGCAGGCCTGCTTACCTGCCATGGCGCCTGGCAGCCAGGTCCTGCTGTCTGTCCGCGGCCCCCGGTGCCTGGCAGCCAGGCCCTAATGTCTGTCCGTGGGCCCTGGCGCCTGGCAGACAGACCCTACTCTCTGCACCTGCATTGCCCTGCCCACCAGGCCACCAGCCTTGATGTGATAGGAGCCTGTGGGCTTAGGGGGTGGGACCCAGAGGTGCTCCATGCACTTCCTGGTGACCAGTCGTCCATCTGGTCATGATGGCCCTATGCTATTATTAGTATAGAAGATTATCTTTGACCTCAGATATTATCATCCATCTAGCTGGAGTATTTTTTTTACATAAAAGATTTCAGAAAATATGTAGTGTTCCAGAAAAAAAAACAATTAAACCTAATAAGACAAAATTCTGCTTAGCAACAAAAATTAAGTAATATGCTATCTCCACCCATCTTATTCCCCTTTTCACTTGTTTCTTATGAAGTGGAGAATATATCACTCTCTTTTGTAATTAGAGCTTCTCCCACAACTTATAATTGAATGGGCAGGGGCTTCTTTGCCTAAATATCCCCAGTGCAAACATGAAGACTTTCAAAGAGCTGATACTCAATTAATAAATGTGTAAAATAAAAGGCATGAAACAAGAAGTCTGATCTGCTAGGATTTATTTTCTCAAACATTGTGGAAAAACATAAGTAAACTCAGGAATATGTTTTTAAAATTTTTAAAAAGACTAAATGTAGTAAGGCAAACAAGAAGTGACCAGTTTTATACAAGTACCACAACTTTTTTTATCCATTTGTCTATAGATGAATAATTCCATGTCTTGGCTGTAACAGGTAATGTTGGGTACAGAGTAGGTAATATAATCAGTAATGAATTAACTACTTATTGTTCAGATGGGTACTAAACTTACATGGGTAAACACTTTTAAGTTATAGAAATGTTTAATAACTATGCTGCACATATACCACTAATATTGTTGTCAAGTGTAATTTAACAAAAAAATAAAACAGAAGTGGCCAATTTTTACTTTATCCTATATGTCTATCTACTGCACCAAAGTATTTTAGTGTATATTTCGTTTACATCTTAAAATACTATCTCGTTCTGGATCATACAACATTTTGAAGGACTTAACAATTTCTATTTTTAAAACGAAACTCTTACTCCTAACTACATAAACAATAGATGTGCGATTCATGTCATTCATAAACTTCGATACTTTGTTCTAGAGCTAAATAAACATTCTGTCTAAAACAGGGGTACGGAACTTCCAGCCTTTGGGTCACATAACAATTTCAAAATGATTTGGTCTGGCCCTGCCAAGGCATTAGGAGTTAAATATTTGACCAAAAGCAGCAGGCTATTTTTTAAGTTGATAATTTTGTATGACTCACGAATAACGTCCTAAATACCCAAACAGCACATGGCAGAAAAAAAGGTTCTCCGCACCTTGTCTAAAAGAACACAATTTGAAAATACAAAACACCCCCAAACAAAGATAAGACACCAAGGTATTTTTCATATTATGAAACTGCTTAACAGGCCTTTCATCCCAAAACTGAAGACTCCACCTCGAGTTCACTCAGAGTGTGGGCAGCAGTTGGACATATTATCAATCTCAAAACTTAGGAGCCTTAAGCTTTACACTGGAGTCTCCACTGGCCATGGGAGGAGTGGCAGCCATGGGTGCAGCTTGGGCTCTTGCTTGCTTTCTCTCTTCCTCATCTTGCAAAGCCTCTTCATAATGGGGTGAGTAATCACTGGGCAAGGTATCATTGAGATCGGCTAAAAACTCCAGGACTTGCAACTTGCTGGTCTCAGCGTGGGCTCTTGCACCCCACAGGAACTCGTAGCGTGGAGGATCACTGTTGGGCACCGGCTGGTACACCAGGTATTCTTCCTGCACCATATCTTGGGTGAGAAGCTTTCTCGGCTCTCCAAAAATGAAGTGAGCCTTTCCATCATAGATGCCCAAATCACCCAGGAATTGCCAGATCTCCTCCTCAGGGGCACGGTTGCCATTCAAGAAGATCACAGCCAGGAGAGGCATCAGAATCCCTTTGTTAGGAAACCTAAAGCCACAGCCTACACTCTCATTGCTGGTATCATCTTGATTGCTGACAAGGGTGTAGTAGTTACCGTTGGGCTTCACTTCTTTCACTTGCAGGCCAAAGAACCGATCCATGCGCTCAGAGGCTCTCCCGAGAATTTCAGGAAAGTCCTTCCAGAACCACTTGTGGATGATCTCCAGCATGTCTCCTTTTTTAATGGGCTCCTTCTTTTTATATTGATACAGCAGGTACTCCACTATCATTATCGCCTTTTGATTTAGAATACTTTGGCCAGAACTCTTAGTGGAAGTTGAGGCCCCAGAGGAATCTTTTCCTTTCCTAACATGGCCTTTGGCTTTTACAGCAGGTCCTTCACCTGAAGCACCTGCAGCAGCACTGGTGGTGACAGGGGCACCCTGAGGTGCCTGGAGAGTGCCATCACCAGTGGAGGTTGAGACCTGGGAGGCTTTTTTACTTTTCTGAACCTGGACTTTGGGTTTTACAGCAGATCTTTTACCTGAAGCACCTGCAGTGGCACTGGTGTTGGTTAGAGCATCCTGAGGTGCCTGAACGGTGCCATCACCAGAGGACACTGAGACTTCAGAGGCTTTTTTATTTTTCTGAACCTGGCCTTTGGCATTTTTCACTTTTCTGGAGGCTGAGACTTTGGAATCAGATATTTCACCTGAACCACCTGCAGTGGCACTGGTGGTGACTGGGGTCTCCTGAGGTGCCTGGAGAGGGCCATCATCAGTGGAGGTTGAGGCCTGGGAGGCTTTTTTATTTTTCTGAACCTTGACTTTGGATTTTACAGCAGATCTTTCACCTGAAGTACCTGCAGCGGCACTGGTGGTGGCTGGGACATCCTGAGGCGCCTGGACAGTGCCATCACCAATGGAGGTAGAGACCTGGGAGGGATTTTTACTTTTCTGAACCTGGCCTTTGGCTTTTACATCAGATATTTCACCTGAAGCATCTGCAGCAGCACTGGTGGTGACTGGGGTCTCCTGAGGCGCCTGGATGGTGCCATCACCAGAGGACATTGAGACTTCGGAGGCTATTTTATTTTTCTGAACCTGGACTTTGGATTTTACAGCAGATCTTTCACCCGAAGCACCTGCAGTGGCACTGGTTATGGCTGGGGCACCCTGAGGCGCCTGGATGGTGCCGTTACCAGTGGAGGTTGAGACCTGGCCTTTGGCATTTTTTACTTTTCTGGAGGTTGAGACCTGGGAGGCTTTTTTATTTTTCTGAACCTGGCCTTTGACTTTTGCATCAGATATTTCACCTGAACCACCTGCAGTGGCACTGGTGGTGACTGGGGTCTCCTGAGGCACCTGGAGAGGGCCATCACCAGAGGACATTGAGACTTCGGAGGCATTTTTATTTTTCTGAACCTGGACTTTGGGCTTTACAGCAGATCTTTCACCCAAAGTACCTGCAGCGGCACTGGTGATGACTGGGGCATCCTGAGGTGCCTGGACGGTGCCATCACCAGTGGAGGTTGAGGCCTGGGAGGCTTTTTTACTTTTCTGAACCTGGCCTTTGGCATTTTTCACTTTTCTGGAGGTTGAGACTTTGGAATCAGATATTTCACCTGAACCACCTGCAGTGGCACTGGTGGTGACTGGGGTCTCCTGAGGCTCCTGGACGGTGTCATCGCCAGAGGACATTGAGACTTTGGAGTCATTTTTACTTTTCTGAACCTGGCCTTTGGCTTTTACATCAGATATTTCACCTGAAGTCCCTACAGTGGCACTGGTGGTGGCAGGGGCATCCTGAGCTGCCTGGACGATGCCATCACCAGAGGACATTGAGGCTTCAGAGTCATTTTTACTTTTCTGAACCTGGCCTTTGGCTTTTACATCAGATATTTCACCCGAAGTACCTGCAGTGGCACTGGTGGTGACTAGGGCATCCTGAGGTGCCTGGACGGTGCCGTCACCAGAGGACATTGAGACTTTGGAGTCATTTTTACATTTCTGAACCTGGACTTTGGCTTTTGCATCAGATATTTCACCTGAACCACCTGCAGTGGCACTGGTGGTGACTGGGGTCTCCTGAGGCGCCAGGAGAGGGCCATCACCAGTGGACATTAAGACCTGGGAGGCTTTTTTATTTTTTTGAACCTGGACTTTGGATTTTACAGATCTTTCACCCGAAGCACCTGCAGCGGCACTGGTGGTGACTGAGGCATCCTGAGGTGCCTGGACGGTGCCATCACCAGAGGACATTGAGACTTTGGAGTCATTTTTACTTTTCTGAACCTGGCCTTTGGCTTTTGCATCATATATTTCACCTGAACCACCTGCAGTGGCACTGGTGGCTAGAGCATCCTGAGGTGCCTGGAGGGTGCCATCACCAGAGGACATTGAGACTTCAGAGGCTTTTTTATTTTTCTGAACCTGGCCTTTGACTTTTGCATCAGATATTTCATCTGAACCACCTGCAGTGGTACTGGTGGTGACTGTGGTCTCCTGAGGCGCCTGGAGAGGGCCATCAACAGTGGAGGTTGAGACCTGGGAGGCTTTTTTACTTTTCTGAACCTGGCCTTTGGCATTTTTCACTTTTCTGGAGGTTGAGACTTTGGAATCAGATATTTCACCTGAACCACCTGCAGTGGCACTGGTGGTATCTAGGGTCTCCTGAGGCGCCTGGGCGGTGCCATCACCACTGGAGGTTGAGACCTGGGAGTCATTTTTACTTTTCTGAACCTGGCCTTTGGCTTTTACATCAGATATTTCACCCGAAGCACCTGCAGCGGCACTGGTGGTGTCTGGGGTCTCCTGAGGCGCCAGGAGAGGGCCATCACCAGAGGACATTGAGATCTGGGAGGCTTTTGTATTTTTCTGAACCTGTACTTTGGATTTTACAGCAGATCTTTCACCTGAAGCACCTGCAGCGGCACTGGTGGTGACTGGGACATCTTGAGGTGCCTGGACGGTGCCATCACCAGAGGACATTGAGACTTTGGAGTCATTTTTACTTTTTTGAACCTGGCCTTTGGCTTTTACATCAGATATTTCACCCGAAGTCCCTACAGTGGCACTGGTGGTGGCTGGGGCATTCTGAGGTGCCTGGACGGTGCCATCACCAGAGGACATTGAGGCTTCAGAGTCATTTTTATTTTTCTGAACCTGGCCTTTGACTTTTGCATCAGATATTTCACCTGAATCACCTGCATTGGTACTGGTGGTGACTGGGGTCTCCTGAGGCGCCTGGAGAGGGCCATCATCAGTGGAGGTTGAGGCTTGGGCTGCTTTTTTACTTTTCTGAACCTGGCCTTTGGCTTTTACATAAAATATTTCATCCAAAGCACCTGCAGCGGCACTGGTGGTGACAGCTAGAGCATCCTGAGGTGCCTGGACAGTGCCAGCACTAGTGGAGGTTGAGACCTGGGAGGCTTTGTTACTTTTCTGAATCTGGCATTTGGCAATTTTTACTTTTCTGAAGGTTGAGACTTCGGAGGCTTTTTTATTTTTCTGAACCTGGCCTTTGACTTTTGTATCAGATATTTCACCTGAAGCACCTGTAGTGGCACTGGTGGTGACAGCTAGAGCATCCTGAGGTGCCTGGACGGTGCCATCACCAGAGGACAGTGAGACCTGGGAGGCTTTTTTATTTTTCTGAACCTGGCCTTTGGCTTTTACGGCAGACCCATCACCTGAAGCACTTGCAGTGCCACTGGTGGTGGCTGGGGCATCCTGAGGTGCCTGGAGAATGCCAGCACCAGTGGAGGTTGAGGGACTATCCCCAAAAACGGAAGAGGAGGAGCAAGCAGCTTCTCCTTCCTCTCCTGCAGGGGCCTGAGAACTCATATCACCTTGTTTCTCAGCTCGGTTTTGGCGGCGTTTCTCCCGAGCACGGAGCTTACTCTTACGACCACGAGGCATGATGGCTGTTGTTGAGGACAGCAGACAGGTGATTTGGGCACCTAGTGGGTGGAGAATAAGGTAACTTGAGCACCTTTAACTGGATTTCACCTTGCCTTTCTGGAAGAGTGTCTCTTCAGGCTTTCTTACAGGCACTACTCTAGGATCCGCAAAATCTCCTGTTTTCCTGGTCGGTCTGGCCCTTAAAAATCCCACTGAGAAACCAGACAAATTTTAGAGTCGATCCCATGTTATGTATTATTAGCCTTGCCTTGAATTTACTCTATAACAGTAGGTGATTCTAGTGTATCCCCCCCCTATTCTGGCATGTGGGATCATCTCTCTTTATTCTCAGTATTACTGTACCAACAATGGGAAGGGCCTAGACAATCTACCATCTGCTACTCTGATGTTGCCACCGAAAATGCTCCCTGGGACCCAGGAAAAAGAATTGGAGAGAAGCTTTAGTTCACCACCCCATCAGGGGATACCCAGTGCTTAGAATTTATTGGGGTCCTTTATGTCATGAGTTCATTTGGATCCCCAGTTGTCAGTCAAGCTACACAGGACCCAATTCTGAGGTCTCAATGGACTCATGCTGAGGCCACAATTTCTGGGAACACTCCCCTCAGATCAAGACACTAACATCCCTATTAACCCTGAGTGAGGGCTGATGGGCACTCCTGCCTGACATTTATCTTTGAGGTGCGCCAGGACTGAAAATAGACAGTATTCTTGTTTCACTGGAGGATAGTTATCTGTATTTTTTTGTTTGAGAGAGTGGAAGGAAAGAAGAGGGGAGGGAGGGAGGGAGGGAGGGAGGGAGGAAGGGAGGGAGGGAGGGAGGGAGGGAGGGAGAAATATTGATTTGGGAGCAACACAACGATTGATTGCCACCTACATGAACCAAACCTGGCAAGGAATCCACCTTCCACCTAGGTACCTGCCCATGACCTATAACTCCAGGATACTTTGGTGCAGGCCGACCATCTAACCAGGGGGCACACTGGCTAAGGCAGGGAGGATTCCTGGAGGCCCCACTGGTACAGGGGGGGCGCATTCACACAGCCCTCAGTGGTCTGTCCCTGAAACCTGGTAGAACACGAAATCCTCCCTCTGCTGACCTGGCTGCCCCCTTTGACTAAGGTGACCAGATTTTAACATTGGTAAAGCGGGACACCATTGACGGCGGGGAGTGGTGGGGGGGTGGTGGGGTGTGTGTGTGTGTGAGTGTGTGTGTGGTGTTCTTGATTAAAAACTTGGTCTATATGTTAATAGCATGAAAAGACATAAGTCCTTCTGCTAATGCTAATTTCTTTGTCCCCATAATTTGTTTTCTGAAAAAATTCCTGTATTTTGGAGGAAGATGCAGCAGTATTTAAATATCTTTTATGTTTCTGTGTCTCCAAGTGCTTTAAAATATCATTCTTTCCGCCATGCGAAATAGAAAATTCACCATTACATTTATCACATTTTACCATGTAATTGCTTTTGTTTTTTTTAATAAAAGGAAATTCACTTCTTAGATCATCGTTGAATTTGCATCCTCTTACTCATTATGTTAAAAATGTAAAAAAATAATCTAAAATTATATTATAAATTATATACATTGCTTAAAAACACAGTAAGTAGGTACATAATTACATGACATATTTTAGTTTATAAGTTAAATTAATTTGATTGTTATAAAGTAACTATATTTTAAAAATTATTTAAATTTTAATCCTATATTTCTTTCTAAATAATAACAATACTAACCTGTGTAAGTTTTCCTCTGAATTTGCCTTAACGAAAGTCGTAAGTGTCACTTTCAAGGCCAGTGCTAGACTTTGCCGCCACTATAAAATATAAACAATATGAGTACTGTCTGCTAAATTCAAGAAAATTTAAGTATTTATGAAATAAATAACTTACCTAAATTATCTGACTAGCTGATTTGTAATGACATCACCTGTTTACTAGCTTACTAGCACGCAGTACGATGTGTATCATCTGAGAGACAGTTACAAAATGTTTTCCTCCTTGCCAATCCCAAAAAATGCCATTGTTCATTAAGTCCAAACAGTGGTGGTCGAATTCAAACAACTGATTACCAATGCGAACTTTGATAAGCAGTTCTCGATAATCAGTTCTCAACAATTATTTGTTATTATTAAAGTTTAATATTATGAAATTAATATAAAATAATATAAACAAAAATAATATAAAGCTCATATCCTGGCTAAATAGCCACATGGCCGCCTAAAACCATATATTCCCTTCTCGTTTTCCCGCCATTCCCTAGCTTGTCTTGCATTCCTTCCAAAAATCGGGACTTTTTCAAAACCCTGTGGGACTCGGGACAAATTGTAAAAAAAATCGGGACTGTCCCGCCAAAATCGGGATCCTGGTCACCTGACCTTTGACCTGACCAGTCACCGCGCTGATGGGGCCCGGGAGGAAGCTAGTGTAAACCAACATGGCGACAGGCCCTAGCCCCCCAGGGGTGCCTCCCGCAGCCTCCCTCCGTGTGACACCCCTGAATCCTGGCAGGGACTGGTTCCTCTCTGTGCCCTCCTCCAACAAACCGAGGCCTGGCCCGTGTGAGACGCCACCTGCGGAACAAGGGCACCGTGGCCCGCCAGCTCTGCTCCGGCCGCCATGATAGTTTGGCGGGGTGACCGCAGGAGGGGAGGCGGGGGCGCTCTTTATTTCCTTGGCGGGGCGCTCCCGGAGCTGAGTGCAGGGCCTGCTGCCTCACGGGGCCCTTTCCCGGAGAGAGGGTTGCTCTGACCCCCCGGCCTCCATCTTGAATCCCTTTGGGGCCTAGGATCGGCCTACTCCCAGCAAGGCCTCCCCGCGCCCCCGCCGCCTCCAACGCCTCGAGGCCGCATTCGGTCTCAGGGCTCACTGCAGGGAAGGGATTGGGGATCCACGCTCGATTGGGGGGTACGTGGCTTGTGTGGTTAGCACATAGGCCCTCACCTTCACTCGAAGCCAGTCCTGCAAAGCCCTCAGGCAGCCGCCACACCCGCGCACCAGCTGGAATGGCCTCGAAGCCCCAGGGGAAGTCGGTGGGGCCTTTCTGGGGCAGGGCTGTCCAGGGCACGCCTGATGCCGGGAGCCTGAGGGCTTAGGGTCCCTGGGCCCTCAGTCCTCACTCAGCCTCCCCACTTTTGTGTCTGCAGAGCTTGGATTCCTCCCTCTAGTGAAGCGGGTGGGCCTGGCCCCCACAAAGTCCTCCCTTCCCGAGACCCAGGGAGGCAGGCAGTGAGGACACCCTGCCTCTGAAGCGGGGCCTGAGCCTCATGGGCCGGAAGGGGGCGGAGCTACGGAGCCTCCATTTGTGAGAGACGTGCTCTCCCTTAGCACTGTGGGCCCTGGCCTTGAGGTGGTTTGTGGTGTGCAAGCCTCCAGCCTCTGTACGCCGGGCCTTGGATCCCTCCCTGAGACCACACGGGGGGGATGCATAGATTCCCGGTCTTCTGTGTCTCCCCGGGCTAAGCAGAGTGCCGGACCCTCCAGCCCCTTCTATTTTGGGGGTGCCCTCATTACACTCAGCATCTTCCATAGTTGCATTCTTCTTAAAGACACAGTCCCTTCCTCTGCGAAACAGAAACCGCCCCTGTTAGAGGCCCTGAGGTCCCTGAGGCCTCCCAGCCTCTGAGCAGCCTGACATGGCTGCCAGGCGCTCTGCAGGGAGGTCGGCAGAGGAGATATGTGAGACCTCCTTGTGCAGTGCGGGCTGCCCTTAGTCCCCATCAGGGCCCTCACTGTGAGAGCTGATCAGTCAGGTAACTCCGCCCTCTGCTCTCCTGACATCGCTCATCTTACATCACAATCCCTCTCTGAGAATTCACATTGGAGGCAGGGTTTAGCCATGGGATCATGGCCCTCCTTTCCAGGCCTCCAGGAAGAGCTCACAGGGACGCGTCCCTCTAGGACCTTACTGTCCCCGCTGAAACCTGCTGCTCCTCATTACAGCCTTCTCCATATCTACCAGCCTCGGACTCCTCCACTGCACGGAGGCCACCCTGCTTAGGTTTCTGCTTGGCCCCTCTACTTTGGCGTGCTTTTCTCTGCCCTCTTTCATGGAGTCCTCGTCCGTGGCTTCTGTCTCTTGATTAAAGGCGTCCTGGGAAATAGCACCTCCCTGCAAACGCTTGAGCAATTTTCCTGTTTCGCATCTTGCAGAAAATGGATCCCATTTCGTGAGTGATGTAAGATTAGAAAACTGTTGTCAGAGGAAAGAAAGCTGACACTTTCTTTCCCTCCTCACCAGCCAGACTTAGGAAAGTTGCAAAGGATTAACTTTTTAATTATTGTTTAAAGCATTACAAATATTACCGCAGATGAAACAGGTTTGGCTCAGTGGATAGAGCGGACTGAAAGGTCCCAGGTTCGATTCCAGTCAAGGGCCTGTACATTGGTTGCAGGCACTTCCCCGGTAGGGGGTGTGCATGAGGCAGCTGGTGAATGTTTCTCTCTCATCGACATTTCTAGCTCTCTATCCATCTCCCTTCCTCTCTGTGGAAAATCAATAAAAACATATAGTAGTGCATATGTCTCCTTTCTTTCCCAATTGACCTTCCCCCAGCCTCCTCTCCCTCCCTCTCCCCTGCATGCAGATGTCTTCTCCCCCTTCCAGTATCTTGTGTCCATTGGTTAGGCTTATATACATCCATACAAGTCCTTCCTTTGATCTCTAACCTCCCCCCACCCTCAATCCTCCCCAGCCTTCCTGCTGTTGTTGATGGTCTGTTTGATGCTTCTCTGCCTCTGTATCTATTTTTGTTCATCCATTTATAATATTCTTTATTATCCATAAATGAGTGAGATAATGTGGTATTTTTCTTTCACTGATTGGTTTATTTAACATAGCATAATGCTCTCCGGTTCCATCCATGCTGTTGCAAATGGTAGTAGTTCCTTCTTTTGCCCTAACAGGTTTGGCTCAGTGGATAGAACATCAGCCTGGGGACTGAAGCGTCTCAGGTTCGATTCCAGTCAAGGGTATGCCCCTTGGTTTTGGCCACATTCTC